TCCGCTGAGCGTCATGCTGAAGTAGCATATCGCTGTGCGGACGCTCTTGACGATTTGATGCACATCGTGCGCCGGCTGCCTCACCTTGAGGACTACCGCGCTCTGTCGGAGCGATTCCTAGTTGTGGAGCAGGCGAATGCGTCGCTGCATGCAACGGTGGAGCGCTTGGCGCCATTAGAAATGGAGTTTGTTGCACTCCGTGCTCAGAACCAGTTGCTGGTTCAGCTTTGGGTGACCAAGGGCCCGAGGGATCCGCTCCGTCGCCAACGCTTCCGCGTTCATTGCGCCGGATCTCGGTACGGCTTTAGCAAGCCCATGTGAAACACCAGGTGGGTTTGCAAAAAAAACCAGGAAATTTCAGCGTATACGCTTGGCCCTGCTTGGCCACAGCCTTAAACAGTCTGACGAACCGTAGGCGAAGCTTCGTCCTGAAGATAGCAGAGGCTGCATGCGTAGGCAGGTTTTTAGAACTTAATAAAACCAGGTCCCCGACCTTAAAGTCTTCTACTTTGCCTCTTCGTTTTTCATCTGCATATTCTTTCTGCACGTTCGCGATGCGATAGCTGAAAGCCAGGTCATGGCTTTCAGCCATGGCATCGCGAACGTGTCGTAGGACACTCAGTCTGATAGACAGGAAGTCATCGACTTTTTTGTGGATGGTGAGGAGGCTGACATCAGCTAGCCGTTCGGCTATTCCTCCTCCGCCAAGCACGGAGCCATGGGATGGCGGCGTCAGTGGGACGCGAGGGTGAATCAGCCCGTTCACGTAGAGCGGCGAGTAGCCAGTAGACTAATGTACTGCAGTGTTCAGTGCAAACTTTACTAGTGACAACTTGGCGCTCCGACGCCTCGGCTTCTCAGCACAGACGCTGCGAAGACTATCTTCGATGACGCGATTCACCCTTTCGGTTTGACCATCGGTCTGCGGATATCCGCTGTCGACATATCTAGCTTGGTGCCGAGCACATTGAAGATCGTCGACCAAAATTCTCCAGTGAAACGGGGGTCTCTAACAAAGCCAATCGACTCTGAGTGTCCGTGTTGA